TTGCCAGTTCTGCTTCTGTTAAAAAGAGTTTCATAAAACCACTGTGGATTTGTAATGTTAATTTTCTTGACTGTGATTTTAAGCTAGATATTTTGATTTCTGAACTGCTCAAAGGGTTAGCAAGTTTTGCATATTAGACAAAGTACCCCAGGCGAAATGCAGAACCATGGATTTTTGGCTTTTTATTTTAATAAAGACTTTGTCCTGAATAAGAAAAGTTTTGTGAGGTAGATACTTAACCTTGGGGGTTCTTTCTGGCAAGTCTCTCAGAATTTGAGAAATTGTTGAAATGCTTGAAAGCTTTATATTGAACCAAATGAAATTTGATATTGCGTGCACATGAGCTGTCAAGGACTTATTTTTTTTAAGTAATTCAGAAAGTCAAATGATCCTGTAGTCTGTTCATGTTTTATGCAGGTAATGGCAGAATATGCATGAAAAACCTGAATGTGAGAAGTCATGAAGCAGACTGTAATGGGCAGTATGCTGCCTGGTGTGATTGGCACTAATTGAAGGAGGAATTTGCCCTCTCTCAGTCCCTCCATATGCCTGGGGGATTTTTAGCCTCCTGTCATGCTGACAAGGATGCTCCTGCTGAGGGAAGGTCTGTCAGCAACACTGAGCACTGAACTGCATTAGATGAGCTGCATGGAGCCCTCTCATCATCATCTCGGGCAGCTATTAAATGTTAATGATTCTCGGCCTTAGATGCACCTTGGTGTTTGTAATATGAAATGCACTATGGTAATAAATGCTGTCATGTAGCCTCATATCCCATATATATCAGCATAATCAAAGTGGAAAATGAAAAAATGACATTGAGGAGTGGGGGAAAAAATAGAAAGTGGCTGTGGAAGGGGAAACTGATGAGCCAGGGTTGGGGCGCAGAGAGATTCTCTTTACCTTAGAGGTGCATCTGCTAGGGCTGAAACACGTGAGATCATCCCTGGTTAGGTTGGTTCAGGTAGCCAGGAAAACTCTTGGAAGGAATACACAGCAGTGTGGATTTTGTCACGGGGTAAAAGCCGCAGGTGCTACCGTCACCACTGCTGCATCTCGCCTGCCTGTGGCTGCCAGCTGCTGAGGAGACAAGCAGGCAGCACAGCCACGGGGGGAGAGGGTCTGCCCTGCGAGCGCCTCACTGCAGCCCCCAGCAAGATTTGGCTTTTGTCTGGAGAAGTCCTGAGCATGGTTTAGGGGTAAGATAGCCCAGCTGTCTAACAGACTTACAGAACCTTTGCCTAGAGGGCTTCTCTGAAGTATGTGTGCATGGGGAAGAAGGAGGAGCAAGGGAGATGAGGCCTCTTAAGGCCTGGAGCAAGTACCACTGCTACCATGGTCAGAGTGGGAAGTTTGGGTCTACAGCTGCTGTATCACAGCCTCTAGAGCAAGTGAAGTGCAAAAACTGGCAGATCTGTTTTGTGCAGAGCTCAGGCCTAGCCTGAGCACGTCTCCGCAGCAGGCCCGGCGGTTAGTGTAGTTCGGTGGCCAACCTCAGGATACCTGTGTTCGGGGCCAGGCCCCGCTCTGGCAGGGGCTCTGTCTCTTGCATGGCTAGTTGGGGAACATGACGTTCAAGGTCACTGGAGGTTCGTGTGAAGATTGTGTGGAAGTTCTGCTTGGTGGGACGTATTAGCAGGTTGCCTGTCCATTTACTGTGGTAGTTGTTCATTGCCCTTCCTCCCCATCATCATCCACCCCATGCCAACTGGGATGTTGGGATCCAGATTGAAATACTGTGCTTGCTTCCATGCTCATGATACACTGCCGTTGAAAAAAAAAATAAAACAAACCTCTGGTAGATTTAAGGCAACTAATTCCGATACTTCACCATTTGCTGCTTTCAATTAGCAATGCAGATCTTCTTATCCTACTAGAATTCATTAGTCTTCATAAATTCTAATTACAGTGCTGTCATCTGCTGCATTATTGTATCATATAACTTATTATCAACAATTATTAGTTTATTAATAAACATTTATTGCAGATGATAGTTTGGTGCTATCATTTATCAAATCTAATAGTTTGTCACATTTTTTATTCCTATCCCATTAATCACTTCAAGAAACTTAAAGCCTATTGGCTTTGCCTTGTGAAAGATGAGAGGAGATGTCCTGGTTTGTAAATTGAGCTGTTTTACCATGTTAAGACTTTAGGTTCAAAGAGATCTTAAATGATTTCTAAATGTATAGAAACAATCTTGTTCCATAGATATCTGAGTTCAAATGTTGTGTCCAGACACTAACATGATTTTTGTGATATGTAATTTTATAAGTGTTTGATGATGCCCTTCCCAAATATCTTTTCCACAAGCCATTTGGATTAAAAGAAAATAATCCTAACGTGCCAATAAAAATAATACAGTAATGATAATCATAAAAATCTCAGCTCACATTTGTCCTACATAGCTGTGATTGGAATACAGCTGAGCTTATATAAACAAAGTCTTTACTCATCCAGGTATAGTATGGTGGAGAGAGCAACACTAAATACATTTTTTAATGGAGCATGAAATGGATTCTTTTTCAGTTAGATAATAAAACATCTGGAGATGTTTCTACTGAGAAAACTGGTAGCTCATAGGGATGTTGAAATTTAATAATAATCTAATATCGCACATTAGCTTCTAGCTAAATTGTTTTTCTTTTTTCAGTACATGAAAATGTGGATATAAAACAGTGGTTTGGAAATAAGATACAAGTTTAAAAATAATACTTTCTTAGTTTTTGTTTAACAAAAATATCCAACATATTTTTTTTCCAGATTATGGTTATTCTTTTTACTATACTAAATGCTTCACTAAGCAGTAGAATCCTAGAGGAAACAATGGCAGAAGCTGAGGTTAAACAACTAGCACATCTGCCTCATCCATCTCCAGCTTAAAGATTTTGCTTTTTTGCCACTTCCTAATTCTTTGTACAAGTTGTCTGGTCTGCTGCTTCTTTCAGAGGTTATTGCAGAACAGTGAATTATGTTGACAGTATTTTCATTTGGATTCGCTCCTTTCTTGTAACTCATCCCATTCCTCCTCTGTGGTTTTCTCTAGGTGCCTGTAATAGACCAGCACTTCATTTGGCCTATTTTAAGTCAGACAAATATTCAGAGGTGGGAAAAGAAGCTAGAAAAGAAAGCAGATTCCTTGGGTTTAAATCAGCTACCTAGATGTCTAAATACAGTTGTCTAATTCCAAGCTGGTCCCTTCCTCGGCGAGGGCCTCCCATCTCATCTGGGTTTCCCGTCTCTTACAGCGGGAGTTAGGGTTGTGTAGCTCGGATAACCGGCTTTGGAAATACGCAATTAGATGAGCTCATTCCAGCAATATCCTTTCCTGGGAATTAATCTTACTGGGTTCAAATGCTTATGTAGTGTTAAAAGCTCAGTCTGTAGGATCCTGCACTTCAAAATCTTCGCTTTGAGCAGTGTCTTCCTTCCCAAGTGCTCCAGCTCCTCGTTACTGACTGATTCCAGTGGTCTTGTCTCATCTAATTGAAAGCGAACGGTGCTTTGTTTGAAACATCCCAAAGCCTTGGGTCTGTTTTGCTCTCATTGTCTTTCAGGTGAGGAGATATTTTGGCACATAACTTGCAGGGGTTTGCAAGTTAGTATAGTTTACTTCGTAGGCGTTGATTTCGGATGTGTTGTTACAATGACAGACTAACTGGATTCCAAGATTTTTTTTTGTTCTTATTTACTGTCTCCAAGTCACTTAAGCATCTTTTTCTGACTACTGCAGAGCTTTAGCTAAAAATTAACTGCATCGTGCATAATTTTATTAGCTTAAATTTTTGAATGTTCCAGCTATTTTAATCCTATCAATTGCTCTTCTCTGAACTAATGCCGATCTATCTTAGTGTCTGTCCTGCTCAAAATGCAGAACTGACAGATGCCAGATTTAAGCAGCAGTGAATCTGTCCTTCAGTCAGTTGTCTAGCTGAGATGTTTGGTTTTGCAGTCTAAACAATTAAGCCAAGGTTTTTTTAATATGCAGGTGTCTTGCAAGTGCAATTATATGGGCCTCTTAGAAATATTTCTAAGATGTGTCTCTTAGAAATGTATCTGCAGCATCACACGCCTGAAACGGTATCTGCAGTGCTGTGCTTGCCATTGAGATATTGCTAAGAGTGGAATATGAGACATCAGGAAGAGCTGTATGTAGGAGGTCGAGCAAAGGTCCAGTCTCCTAAGAATTTGTCTAATCTTCTTTTGAGCTTATGGCCTCCAGGATGGCCTATGGAGAGGAATCCTGCAGGTCAGTCCTTTTAGTGCTTCTAAACCTCCTGCCTTAATGTTGCAGATTTGGAGAGCCACCTACTTCTTACAGTATATAAAAAAGAAAAACATAGTCATGGATTCCTTTCCCATGCCCCTTTTGCCTTGGTGTGTTGAGTCCCCTGTCAGTCATCTTTTTTTAAGTTTATGAAGCTCTGGCTAAGTCACTGCCTAATAGTGGCGGCACACGGGAAAGTAAATATGAGGAACTATTCATCTCCAGAGCTAGCTGATCAGTCAGACAGAGAAATTACTCTGTTTCTAGGCGCGAGGTGCTGTTTCTCATTGTGTCTGTGTTTGGTGTGGTACTTGGGCAGTTTAATGCACACGCATAAGCCCTCCCAGTCTTCCCCAGCCTCCTTGGCTCATCAGACCTCCCAGGGCTCTGTTGTTGTGGCTCTGCCCCGAGTCAGACTGGAAGTAGATGGGGGGAAAATACTATGGAAGTTTATAGTGAGTAATAACCTCATAATTATACCTTATGCATCTCCCTGGGAGCAGGCGGGAGTCAGTGCCTGTCCTCAAGCTCGGGGCAGGGGATCGTGCTTTTCATCTGAAAACCTATCTATCTGCTCAGTGTGTCCACAGATTAGAGAGGAGATTTGTCCTTCCCTGAACAAATGATGGCTTGAGAAACTGCAAAAGAGAGTTTGAAAACCGGCATGTCCGCCTTGCAGGGAATATATTTGCTCTGAAAGAAGTGTTTCCCCCTTTAAAAGGGCAGTAATTCTTTTCTCTCTCTTGGGAAGTGCTGTAAAAACAGTTACATAATTATTTGTGAAGAGTTAGCCACCCGAAGAAGCCAGTAAATGAAAGGAAACCATATGGCAATTACAAGCTTTTTTTTTTTTTTAAGACAAGTAAATCTATTGTCAGCAGAAAATTAGCCTGTAAAACTAAGCCACCTGCTCAGAAATGACCTGAGGAAATTGATGACCTTATTTATATCTAGGAAAATGACATGGGCCTTTGACTAAGGCATTTCCAACCACCAGACAGTTGTGGTTCAGATAGGGAGCAGGTACCCAAGATGGCCAGGACTGCAATGCTGAGGGCCTTGATAAGCACCTGTGATGGATCCCATGGTGTTGTTGAGTGACAGTCCAATACTTCTTACTGAGGAGGCTCCAGTCTCAGTAGTGCCCTCTTGTTCACTGGCTACACGGATCCCTCCCCTGCGGAGGGGATCAGAGGCTCTAGGGAACGTCAAAAAATTGTATTTATTGAAGACCATTTACATTCCTTTGCATTAGAGGAAGGGTACCTTAATGTTCAAATATTGCAAAATTGCAGAGCCAAAAAAAGGTCTTGGAGGCTCTAAATTGCACTAGGTGGGTACTCAAGGCAGCAGCGGTTGTACTATGGGAGAGTTCTTGCTACTTCCCGTTTCAATCACTAGGTCTGGTTGTAGCGTGGCCAGGTGTAACAGCCATCCTGGGGAGTTGCAGAGACACATCTGCAATACTTAGCTGTAAAAAGAGGTTGTCAGCTGTGGTAGTAGCAGAGGATTTGTTTCTGCTTTGTTTTTTACTCACTGAAAAAATATTACAGATTGAATCAGGGTTTTCTTCCATTTGTAAGATTATTTGGAGGACTGAATTTCAGTTATTGATTGGGTATAGGAAGAAATATGCATGTTTCTCTTTCAGCAATCTCAATCCAGAGAAAAATACAAATGAAAACGGAATGTCTATGCAGAATGACAACTTTGAAGAGATCATAAACCTACCAATTGGATCTAAACCATCCCGTCTGGATGCCATGAACAATGATGGAAGCAATAGTCCTGAAATTCCTTTGAATCCCATTTTAGCCTTTGAAGATAAGGGGACTCTGTTGCCTCAGGTAGATAGCGTTCAAACACATCAAACAGCAGGTAAGTTTGCCTTGGTCCATTAAAATCTGTAATGTGTTATAATTGGCAGGGGACCTAGAGCTCCTAAGTGATGTAAATTGATTAATTTAAGGGGTTTATGCTGGAAAATCTTTGGGGGAGGGAGCACATCTTTATTCTCTTTGCAGGGCTATGTGTGCCAAGTGTAGATGCTGCGTCAGCTACAAGCACTTGTCTCTTATTTGAGCGGGGGGATGTTCGGAAACGTTTGCCTTGTGCTTTCAAGCTGAAGCAGAAAAGAAAGGTTGTCACTATTATAAGCCTGTGGTCTGCAATCCTATTCTAGCTCTTTAAAAGTTGAAGTCTGTGGTACACTATGGCGAGGGGTAGACAAGTAGTTGCCTTGCACATAAAATTCTGGATGCGCCTCCCTTCTCGCTGGCGTTAACACAGAGGGATGGTCTGCAGCACGGTAGATTTTTCTGAAGTAGATGATAACTTGAAAAGGCTGGGAGGTAAGCACACATTAATTTAGTAGTTTAAATTGAATATGGCTACCAATTTTTCTTTTCCTGTGGATGATAAATGTAAGGAAAAATACCGTACAATAAAATGTCTTCATATTTATCTATAGCAATTTGAATTATTGCTACTGTTGGCTGACCTGTCCTTCCCGGTGCCTTCTGTTGTAGAAGTGATCTGATTGTGTCTTCTGAAGAACCAAAGGTGATAAGAGCATCTCTGCAATTGGTGGAGTTTCTTCCATGCTATGAAGGAGTGTTTTGTTTTTTTTCTCTCCAGTTTTTTAAAGATTTCTTGGATATCTTTTTTGGAAGGACTTTAGTAAAACCAGCAGAAGAAATAATGGGAATAGATTTGGATCACCTTTATAATAGTTTTCATCACTAGAAAAATCATGCTTCACGTGCATTACTTAAAATGGCTTTTTCCAACAAGCTTTTTCTGTTAGTAAATGGATATTTTCTGCATTCCTTAAGACACAAGACACTGGAATCTGAAAGCAATGATGATTGGGGTGGTGGGACTGATTTTTTTTTAAGAGGTGTTGGTTTAAAAGGCATAATTGTAAAATTGGCAAAGAATCTTTTTCACTTTATGGCTCTAATACTTGAAAAAGAAATACCTCATCGCTCTACAAGTAGAGTTAATGGGGTGTTTTATTTAAACCTGTTGGTTTAAATATTATTGCAGAGAACTCTAATTATGGGGGCAAAGTATAGGCTTCTGTATCAGGTTCTGTTGTAAATGTAATTCCTACAGGGACATTCTGTAAATTGAGATGTCACTATGATCTTGCATTTTCTCTAAAAACGCAAAACAAGGCAGGTTTTAAAATGTGAAAATTTGAAAGTGATATTTTTTCATGGACATGAGGAAAACCTATTGTTCTCCTAGATGATGTATTTATGAATTTTGCTCAGTACAAAAATCATTTAAATGAATAAATTAGAAAAATGTGGTAAAATCATACTGCAAATTTGATTTTTTTTGTTGTTAACGTTCATGTTCACAATACTATATCAGACATGTACACGTGTGCATCTATGTGCACGAACACACAGGGAAATATCCCATCGTTCCGAGTCCTGTAAATTGCTGCTGTTCCCAAGGAGAGAGGACTTTTCCTTTGCCTTACCAGACTATGAAAACTGTGTGAAACCTGAAACATTTGATTTTTGGATGAGAAAGCAAGTTTGTTTTGGAATTATTTTGGTTTTGCTCGTTTCAGAGCAAAGGGGAAGTGGTCGATGTTTGTGCTTTTTATGCAGTGTGTGATTTTTATAATGCAGTGCAGTTTGAGTGGTAAGTGCAGCAATGCGGGTTGCTTTTCCTTGCATTTGTTGATGCTGATTTCTACTGTCAGTGTTCCATCCATGTCACTTTTGTTGCTTTTCAGCATAATTGTAAAATCTTGCACCTTTTTATGCTTTGGTAAACACTGCTGTAACAGGTAGCTCTCACCAGGTATTTATTTTTGAAACACCAACCAGGGCGTGATGCATTGCTTGCTGGAGTGAGTGGGTAGGTGCTCAGTCGATGGGCACCAAGGTTGACATGGCTTCCGTTCATGCCACCTGAGAAAGTCCCCATTAAATTCCTGTGCTTGCCTTTGAACACGGAGTGAGGCCCGTAACAGAAAGCCCAAGTCTGTGAGAGGAGAAGTCTAAAAGCTGAAGAATTTTTGAAGAAATAACTTGCTGCTGCTGCAAAGTGCCCATCTTATACAGGAGATAAAATAAAACAGTAGAAATGCCATGAGAAGGTATTCCATCTGCCAGAATACATGGAAAGGACAAAACCTTTCAGTCAGAGTGCTGCGGTAGTGGGCTGTGACATGGTAAAAATTAATTGGGTCCCTTTCTCACTCTCTTTAGTTCTCTGTGTACATAGTCACAATATTTGAAAATGTCCAAAATATGTAGTTTTTCTTTAAGAATATATAGCATGTAAGTACCAAATAAAACTTGTTTGAAATACTTTCTTATATTTTCATTTTTCTTGTTGTATAGTTGAAACAGGAGTCAACATATGATGGAAACTCTCCTTGCTTTGCTTAAAACCTTTGTTACGTTTCCTCTCATCTCTTTACTCAAAAATCAGTACAGGGACACTACAGACGGAATAAGGACGGAATAAGGTCCAGGAAGATTTAGATTCAGTTTTAAACCTGAGGCTTAAATTTAGGCTTGGGTTTAAATGATGTTTTGAAGTCTCATGAAAGCAGTTAGCAAGATCTCAACATTTGTTTCGCCATTTGCAGCAGAGAGATTAAGAGCCTGCCTTCATTTTCATGTGTGTTTCTGAACTGGGCTTCAATAAGGACAATTTATTAATTTCAGGATTTATTTAAATATTAATTTAAATATTAATTTAAATATATATTATTTATATACTTTTTGTATATTTTATATATTTACATATAAATATATATTATGGGTATGAATATATAATATGTGAATATTTAATATTTAAATATATAAATACTTTATAAGTTTATAAATATATAAACTTATTTATTTCAGGATTGTTTCAAATGAAAGATAGAAAATTTTCTTTCTGTTGAGGGCTTGGCAAACAAACTGAAGGCTAATGAATAGGTTCAGAATTAGGAGTATGGATCAAAAGACTAAAAAATGAATAGAGATTGAAATTTAAATCCTTTAAGTACAGTGAAAAGTAGTGTCTTGAATATTGAGTTTTATAATAAAATATAATATCAAATGGAGGGGCGTCTTGTTTGTTTGTTGTTGCAGCTGGCCCTATTTGCCCTATTAGAGGCAAGACTGAGCTCTTCGGTGAAGTGAAAGCAGCAGTTGTACGAGTTGGTTGGAGCTTTCTGGCCAGGGTGGGATAACCCAGGAGGGCCTTTCCCAGCAGACCAGATGCCCTGGAAGGGCTGGTTCTGGAAGGGCTCCTCACCTTGCTGACATCTTAACAGCACAGCAGGTAGATGCTAATGTGGGTGATGATCAATCAACTTAATTCAGGCCATGACAAGTCACAGGTCATTCTCCATTAGCTGTCCTTATTTTACATTTGTTTCTCATTTGCCACGTCATTCCCGATGAAAAATGCTTCATTATCTCCCTTCTTGCCAAGCCCTTGAAGTAACGATCGCAATTAAGCATGTGTAACAAAGAGAGATACAAGATAGACTCTAACGTCATTCCTTATTCCACTGGTCATAAAACACTGCCTGTGGGCTTGTTCTAGCAGTGTCATTCCGCTCCTTGGAGCGCTGTATTTTCATAAGCCCAACTGCACATAATTGAGCACGTGGGTCCTTCACGTGACACTTCAAAAGAAAATTCTGGTGCGCACATGAATATTGAAAAGTGTGTGTTACTTCACCTTAAGTCTCTTCCCTCTTGTTCTTTAAAAGGTCTCTTTAGTGTGTCGTAGAGAGGCTTTTAAGTGCCTTTATAAACTATTTATTATCGGAGAGAACTTTCAGTTATTAAAAGAAATCATTAAAGAACAAAAATGCCTACCCTGAACACTGGAAGCCAAAGCCTTGAATTAGGCCTCAGTAAAATGTTAGTCACATTGTTTGTATGAGTTGTACCATCTTGAAAAGCACTGTAAAAGACTGGAAAATCTGCATTTTCATTCCATAAGAAGCTGTACCATGAGCAAATGTCTGCCAAGAGCGCTGCTGCAAAGCATGAAGTATCCCAGAGGTATAATTAGACTACTGTTCCCTTGCAAATTAAATCTTAGATACATTAAAAGAAAAAAGAAAGTCTATCATAATTTCAATGCTCTGTGCTACTTTTTTTTTAATACTGTTTTGTTTGTCTAGAAGATCTATGAGAGGATTTTCTCCTGTGGGTAGGAGGAAAGGGACAAGTTGCTCAGTACCCTGTATACATGTAAGACAAATGCTCCAATTTGAAACTAAATGTACTATCACATTTTTAGGTTGTTTAAACTTCTTTTAAAATGAAATATCAAAATATTTAAGGGCAGTTCCTGAATTGGTTGAACTCAATCCAAATTTATGGCCTCCTCCTGCCCAGCAATCCCTTTGGAAACAGCTTTCTTCCACACTAATGTCCCTGGGCACGTAGAGGAATGCGGATGCTGCGAAATAAAGGACATGGAACAAAAGCGGAGGAAACGAGAGGCAGAAGGGGACAGCAGTAGCCTCGTACTCCGCAGACAGGCGCTGCCCCCCTAGGCACCGGCTGTTGCACAAATAAAAGCTCCTGACTGCAGCGCTTCCTGGTTATTAAAATGAAAGGCAGGAGAGGGGGAGAAGGAAGGTTATCCAGGCATGACAGGGGGTTGATTTTTTTTATTTTCCCCTGTTTTTCCTTTCCCAGACAGTGGGGAGGAATGCAGCCATAGTCTTGAAGCAGAAATAGGCATCCAGCCGGTGTGTCCAAGTGGTGGTTTTGACCAGCTCTGACTGCCGTTGTCAGAACATCTCTATTTTCTAGAGCATGAGATGCCCCGTGCTTTTTATTTTTGTGGTGAAAAGGCAAGTAAACAGGAAAACTTTTAACTAAGAAAGCCAATGAAAAGCGTTGTCTCCTCTGAAGGTTCAGTTTCTTGGACTTGCTAGGTTTTTGTAAGGCATCCGACTTAAACATTAACCGTCTGTGTGACAAATAGCTGCCCTGAGGAGCTCTTGAGTTTCTTCTGTTTGTTGACGGACCTGTTCAAGGAGTTTGGTCATTTGGCTTTTTCTGAATGCTGAAGAAAATTCTGGATCTGAAGAAAAAAATAACAAGTGTTAGGTTTGTGAACTTCTAGTAATTGCCTTCTCCAAACCTTTTTCCTGTATTTTCTGCAAAACCTTAGAATGCTTGTATTCAAGGTGAGATGGATTCGGTGGTTCCTATTACAGTGTAAAGTATATACAATATGTAAACCAATATTTTTCTACCATACAAAGGAGAACAAGTGCTAGATGTTAATCCCATTTTCATCCTTACATCCAGATGCGTAAAGCTCAGTTGGCCATTTCAGTATTACGTGTTGTTCCTATGCAACAGACGCAAAGGAAGATGTAGCTCTGGCTCTTTGTAGGTCAAGATGTAAAATATAAATCTGGATAGTATGCGTGTCATCTGTACTCAATATTCACTTAAAAAAACCTAATCAAAACTAGGAAATGTTAAGGAACAGAATTAGAAGTATACCAAAGATGTAATATATTCTGGCTTTGTTATGCCTTAACTGCAAGATTAAGGCAAAAATTATAAAATATGCATGATTAAGTGCTTGTAGAAAGAATACTGATGTTCTTGGAAATGTATATGCTATAAAATATTAATTTCAATGTAAGATTCCCTAAATTTTGAGAAAATTATTCTGTGCATAAGAGGACATTACAGAACAAGGAGCATTGCTGATGACTTTCAGGCCTGTCAACCTTGAATAATAGTATTAATCAGCAAAACAGTGAAGAGGACGAGCAGTTATTTATTCTCTCACATGGAATTTATTTTTAATGAGTGACAAACTAGAAGGTCACTAATCTGTCATCTTTGTATGTTCTGTGTTATTTCCAAGACCCGGCAAAGCCATGGAAATGCTGTGTGTCAATAGTGCCTGCCATCAGCACAACCTGCTCCTTTGCTTGCTGTACCAAAATAAAGTACGATTTCAGATTTGAAGAGCTTTCTGGACCTCTGAATCCGGTTTCCCTCTGATCAGAAAGCCTTTGATTTAAAAAACAACGGCTCGCCGTTATCTTAAAATGTGTTTCAGTTTTTTGAAAGCAGCGGAGGCGCTGGCTGCCCTCGACC